AAATATACAATCAATTCACTTTACAGTATATTCTGTGAAGCACTTTGAGACATCTAGAAGATGTGAAAAGCGTTATATCAAATGCAAGGATTATTATTCTTATTTATCATAGTTCTGGTCACTGGGACATAAGGGGCTGCCCAGGCCCTAGAGACAGTGCAGAGAAGAGATGTCTCAATGACTTGTTAAGGCGCAATATCAACAACAACTTGCACTTGTATAGCACCATCCACGCAGGGTAGTGTCTCAGAGCGCTTAATAGTGGTGGAGCCTGACTCCGAGCCGGAGTAGGAGGGGAGGTGGCTGTAAGCACGTTTGAAGAGGAAGGTTTTCAGGCAGGACTTGCTAAAGGGGAGAAAGAAGGGGAAGGCGGAGGGATTGAGGAAGAGTGTTCCACAGTTTCGGGGCATAGTGGCTGAAAGCGTGACCTCCGATTATGGGGCGGAGGGTGTGAGGGACAAGCAGGTGGCCGGTGCCAGTCGAGCGGAAGCACCAAGGGGTGGAATGGGGAGTGAGGAGGTCGGAGAGGTAGGGAGGTGCCAGGGGATTTGAACACGAGTGTGAGGATCTGGAAGCTGATCCGTTCGATGATGGGGAGCCAGTGGAGCCTGGGCCAGAACTGGTGACAAATGCAATGATCATTATGATTATTATTATTACTATTATAAACACTGGAATTTCCATGTGAAGATGGGATGAATGGTACTCGCAGTCTGGTTAGGATATTCTTGAGCATGGTGATGGGTTCCCGTTTGTGTCAAGACCAAAATAAAATCTATTCCCACTGCTCTACTGGATAGCCTTTTGTTGGGAGAACCTTGAATTGTCAGGGGCTAGCATTTGGATGGAACTTAAACTTATCTGTGCCTCTTCAGGTGAACGTTAAAGATCCCATGTCACTTGTTGTTGAACAACTTGCTCTATATAGTGCCCTTCACATCAGGTGGCGTCCCGGAGCGCTTAACAGTGGAGCCCGATGCCGAGCCAGGGATAGGGGAAAGGTGACCTGAGGCACCGTCGAAGAGGCAGGTCTTCAAGTGCGACCTGAAAATGGGGTGAGAGGGGGCAAGGCGAAGGGATTGAGGGAGGGAGTTCCATAGGTTTGGGATGTAGTGGCTGAAAGCACGGCTGCCGATGGTGGGGCGGAGTTTCAGGGGGCAAGGAGGCTGGAGCCACTCGAGCGGAGGCAGCATGTAGTGGTGTAGGGAGAGAGCACGTTACAACAACAACAACAAGATTCCATTTATAAAGCGCCTTTCACGTCAGGAGGACGTCCCAGGAGGACGTTAGAGAGATGGTGGGGAGGGTGGGTTGCCAGGGGGTGAAGGGAGTTTCTCCTGGTGTTCTGGCCAACAAATCTCCCAGGTAAAATTTCATTCACATCATTGTTCGCGGGACATTCTGCTGTGTTCAAATTTTTGCGTTCATCTACAAATACCCAGGGACTGATAACTCTTTAAAGTGAAATCCTGGGAAGCACTTTGAGACCTTTCAACGACATGATAAAGTGATGCATCAAATGCAAGGTCCCACACATAGCGTGAAGTGAATGAGTAATTTCACCTGAGGGGATTGATTGCTGGCAAAGATAGCGGAAAGAAACTCCCTTCTTTTTCCGAATGGTGCAGATGGATCATTTTAACGTCCACCTTAGACTGTGATACTTGCATTCGTGACGTGGGATTTGAACCCATTGCAGGATGAGATTGGGAAGATTTTTAATTGAGGTCTGTGGGAAGCTCTGTGGACCCCTGCAAAACTAAGACTACGAGAGCGTAAGAGGCTGTGTTGTTCGTGAACGTTAGGGC